GTGCAAAGTAGTGTGATTCATTTTGTTCCCAATGCCTATGCCTTGTAAAGCAAACGGGAGCTATATGTCCTACCCTATTGCAATAGTGACAAACTACATTTGGGTTATGCATCCTCCTAGGTTGATAGTAGTTGCTAGGGGGCCTAATCGTATTCATCCTGTTTTGAGAAAAACTTGGTTTTTGAAAATTTTCCCTTCTAGGTGTTCTAGAATTATTATGTCTATTTGAAAATTTTTTTTTATGCACAGAATTATTTTGATAACTTTTCCTAGGTTGTCTATTATGCTTATTTTCATTCCTAGGTTTTTGTCTAGGTTGTCTAGTGTCCCTAGGTTGACTAGATTTTCTATTATCCTGATTTTTAACTTTCTTATGTTGAGCCTTAGGAGGTTTTCTAGATGTTTGCTCAACGTTTTTATCCTTAAATTCATTTTTATCAAAACCTATTCCTTCCTTAGAAAAGTGCATGGTGTCTAGAAGTAAATTAAGATCTTTGTGTGGTGTATTAAACTTCTTAACCGTACTCTCAAGTTTTGCAACTTTTTCTTTTAAATTCTTGCAAGATTCACATTCACTTGAAGACCTTTCTGGTTTGTCAGCACTTCTCTTACCATAAAATTTATTTTCTTGTTTCAACCTTTCATTATCTTTTTCCAATTTGTCAAAATCATTTTTAAGAGTTGAAAGACTTTTCTTTAAAGATTTATTGGTTTTAGAAGCGCTAACAAATTCATCATAAAGCTCATGAAGTGCGTCTTGCATTTCTTCAAAAGTATAAGAGTCGGAAGAATTGATACATACCTCTTGAACGTCGTCAGTTTGATCTTCGTGCGCCATGAGGCAGAGGCTGGCGGCTTCCTCCTCTTCTTGATCCGTTGACTCATCCCCGGAGTCGCCTCCCCAAGAGATGTAGGCGCGTTGCTTTTTGAAGCCAGGTTTGTCCTTGTCGCCTTTGCTTTTTGGACACCTCGGCTTGATGTGGCCTATCTCACCACAACCATAGCACTTCGGGGGCCCGTCGTGCTTTCTTCCTTTTCTTTCAAATTCTTTCTTCATGAATTTGTGGAACTTCTTGATAACGAGTCCGAACTCGTTGTCATCATCGCTTGAGTCATCTTCCACGGACTCCTTGGTTGCTTTCAGCGCTATACCCTTCTTCTTTTGTTCATCCAAAGACGGTGTTAGAATAGTAGATTCATAGGTTTTGAGATTACCTCTAAGCCCGTCGATGGTGACATTCGAGACTCCGATGGATTCATAGATTGCGTCTGCCTTTGATCTCCATTCGGGTGTGAGACTT